TTTCCTCTCTTAATGAGAGCCCTTTCCTCCCCCCTTTTAAAACTTATTTTTGTCTTTTTTAAAGTTTTCACCTATTTTTTTAAAAAATAAGTGAAAATTTGATTTTTTTATTTAAAGGGGGATTTTTTCCCTGAAAGTTTTTTCCGTGGGTTTTTTCTGAGTTTTTTTCAGGATTTATTAAGCATAAATACTGATATATTTTGGAATTAATTGTTCCTTCAACGAAGGTAAGGTTATCTGAACCATTTGCAATTTGTTTGACCATTTAAAACAATGACTAAAACACGAAATTAAAAAATGGCGTTATTTTTTAATTAAAATTCTATAAATTTACAAATTCAAAATTAGTAATTCAAAATAAATTATCATTGGAATCTTGAAAACTAACCATAAATTACCATATTAAATTATTTGGATCAAAATATAACTAGGGGAGATCGGGGTTATATTATCTATAAAAATTTGAAAGGCTGTAAAAAGGAGGGGAAGTAACTTATCAAAATAATTTACGTTGTTTTATTCTTTATATATTTATCTATGGTAGAAATTAATATCTAAGAAAAAAAATATATTTTTTTTTAAATCTAAGTTTTAAAAAAAATGAAATTTTTGAGTTATGAAAAAGACACGGGGGACGTCCTTTTGTGGGGCATGTTTTAGCCTATCATTTTCTATGCATTTTATTCATTTTTATCATACAAAAAACACAACAAATTTAATATTAATTTACAATTATGATTCATTACATAAATCACATTTTACAAATAAAAAAGGTATTAAAATCGCAACAAAATCCATGTGCCCATAAATGACTATCTCGGCATTGGAACCAATCTTCATTCTGATGATGTACTTGAAATTTTCGATATTCATATTTAAGCTTTTTTTGCTTTTCTATTTTTGGCTTGTATGGTGTTTACCCGATTAGTGGCCTTTGCTCTGTCCATATTTTTATATGGAGATGACGTTAAAATGGATGATGTCATTTAAATACGAATGGTTTTTTAAAATATTATGGGATGGGGAATAATATTTTCCAGAGTAAAATCGATTTCCATCTAAGAAGATGAACTTGGAGCTGAACTATCATTGAAAGGTTGCGAAGTAATTTTAGATAAATTTAGTTGAATATTATTAGGATATTTATTATAATTAAAATATAATGAATTCGAATTTTCGTCATAATAATCAAAGGATTTAGGGGCCAAATACCCGAGGATTCAAATGGATATTTGAAGCCGAGGTGGCTTTTAGAAGAATCTCCTTTACCACTACTCCAGGGATATCATAAATAGTAAAAATTTTCCCTGAGTGCATTCTCATTCATGCATCCAAGGCACTATTGTAATATTTTTTAAGAGGTACAAAAACGATATTTTATACAATGGTTGGAGTTTATGGGTGCAATAGGGAGGGAGAGTCACTATACTTATAGCCTCTGGTGTTTAAAAAATATGGTTGGATTTCTTTTAATAAATGCTCCAATATTAAGTCAATCTCATTAAAATCCTAATTCTTAAATTTAATTCTGAATTTATTTTAGAATTAATATATACAATCTTCTGCTAAAATTATTTAAAATATATCATTCATAATTAAACCTTTAATGTATAGGTAAGAACCTAAATATGTTTTAATGCATGATATAATTTAATGCTAAATCAATGAATAAATAATTTAAAAATAATTAATATATATTACATAACAGCATCATTTTATTAAAATATATATCATATACACATAGTTAAATCTCTAATGTATAGGTAAGAACCCAAATATGATTTAATGCATCAGGTGCGTAACCAATGGAGGGGGGGGGGTAAATTTGACTGTTTTCATAAATATCATTCTAAGCTAAAAAAAATTTCCCCACCACCCCTCCCTCTCGTTAAAATTTTCCAATATCAATCAAAGTTTATCTTTGCTGCTAGTTGCATTAATAAATTATTTTTTTATAGCTCACTACTTTGTAGGTTTACAAAAACCAAATTTAGATTTGGTTCAGGTTATTGATTTGGCGGAAATATATATGAACAGGTAAATACAATAAGAATGAATGTAGATGAATATTTTCATAATATTTATCTAGACGTTGAATCGAAAGCTAAATCTTATGATATAACAACTAAACCTAGTCATGCAAGGCAATTATTGAGATGTAATATAAATGTTGACTCAAATGAAGATTATTATAAAATTTCCATTTTCATCCCATTCTTAGATATTTATTTATCTCAAATAAAAGTAAGGTTTTTAGATAATAAACAATTCTTTAGCAATCTTCAAATTTTATTACCTAAAGACCCTTCTACTTTTTCTGATGCCACTATTGGGAAATTGATACTGAAATCAATTTTATGTGAATTCGAATTGTGGTATAAATTTTTACTATGTTTGGTTATTTCGAGCATGCTATTGATCCGCTTACTCGGTGTAAGGAAACATTGGCTCAATTTTCAAATATTTTAAAGTTGTTTTATATTCTTGCATGTTTGCCTATTACAATATGTACGAATAAAAGGACCTTTTCCATCTTGAGAAGTTGAAAATTTATTTAAGAAACGCTACTTCCGAATCTTGGCTAAATGGGTTAGCTCTGTTAAACATCCAGATTCCAGTAAGATATTATTTCAACGAAAAACGAAATTCTTGATGAATTAGTAAATTTCTCACGAAAATTAAAAATCAAATTATAATTATAGTATTTAATAAATTTTTTGTATAATATTGTATTAGTCTAGTCACTTTATACACACTACAATTAGTATTTTCAATAAAAATATTTTATTCTAAGTTTAAAATTTTTTTATTAAATATAATATATTAAAATAATAAAAAAATTGGATTATAACCTCTATTTCTTCTTTAAATATCCATAAGCGCGGATTAGTAAATAAAAGCTAAAAATATTAATTAAATTAGAATAATTTAATAAAATAGCTCAAACATATAACCCTACCAAAAAATCCCCCCCCCCTTCCCTATAGGAAAATCCTGGATATGCCTCTATAATGTATGATATAGTATATAATGCTAAATCAATGTATAAATCATTTTACAATTAATATATGGCAGCATCATTATAAAATTTCTATACATTCATGGCAGCATCATTTTATTTAAATATATATCATACACACATAATTACCTATCATTCTATGCCTAAGTTAAATTCTTACTGAATTTTATTATTAATAAAGATGTTTGTGAAAAGAGACACACCCCGCTAATACCTTCTCCAGGTCCTCGGGATCATTTAAAAATTAAATTTAGAATATTAAATTAACATAATGATTGTCAATATTTTTATATAAGATAAAATGAATATTTTTTTATCATTTAGAATTAATATTAAGTCTGAACAACTTTTATAAAAAGAAGTTATTAGTGAAAATGTAAAAGTTAAAAAGTTACTCTTGGTATATTTAAATTTGCATTTAAAATTATTCATGAGTAATTTTGTCCGAAACATTTTTTAAACCTACTTAAGCACCTTATTAAAATACATATTTGGCTTAAATTTCAAATCTCAACGTTTATTAATTTTTAAATTATTTGAGAAGAAAATACCTACACCGGGAACACACTATCCCCGGTCTCCCCTACATACAAAAATTTTATGCAAAGATTGGTAGACAAAAGGAAAAACCGGCGTTATTTTTGAATTTGTATATATTAAAGAATATAAAATCTTCTTTTTATTTAATTTTAAACTCATTTAATTTTATATTAAATTACCGTGCTTAAATTAATCTCTAATATATGTTGGTTTGCCAAAAAAAAAATTAGAATTACATAACACCACACCGCGCATTTTTAACTATAATTAAATATTCTTACTTTGTTACCTTTATCAATCAGTTAAGTTTTATTTATTTGCTACCCATAATATTTTGTATTGCTAAAAATATTCCTGACCGCTCAATCTGAAAGAAAACTAATCCCCCTAAAAAACCTATATCTATCCCCCTATAAATTTTTTGCCACCTTTGATGGTGATATTTCTACTTTATTAATTACATGTTTTTAATTATAATGGAACCCCCTTCATATATTTTAAAAAGAATAACTAAAATTATCAATACTCTATAACCAACTATCAAAAAATTGTGAATGTAAAAGCGCTATTATGAATTAAATTTAAAAAAACATTTACATTGAATACATTATTATAGCATATTGTTTGGCATGAATATGACTTATCTAATAGAATACCTTACCCTTTTAAATTATATTTAAAAATATAGCCGGAAATTATTCAGAAACAAATTTTATTTAAAAAATAATGACTATGTATATAATATTGGTTGATGTTTTGCATTTTATTTATATTATAATAGGTCTTTAATTATGAATTATTATAGTAATACATTATCCATAAATTATTCAAAGATGTAATGGATCCAATTAATGCCCACCCCCAATCTCCCTTTAAAATATTTGGTTGCAAACTATTCCTACCCCCCCCCCCCCACTTTCCCGCTCATGTAGGCACTGGACCCACCTGAAGTTAAGTTTTATTTGATTCCCATATCAATATTTTGTGTTGAATAAAATATTACTAACTCCATGGGCCTAGACTCTCCCATTAAGAGAAAGAGGTTGACCTCCTGTTAGATAGATTTTTTGATTAGCTAGCGATTTTATACCTATATTAGACATATCTACTTTTATAAGACGCAAAAAAAACAACTTTAAAAATCTATAGATTAATATTTGAGAACCGTTGAAGGCATAACGATAAGGAGCAAATGTTCAGTAATCGTATTTAGTCGTGAATTCGATTTCAAATCCGGGTGTTGTTGCACTTTATCACAAAATATAACAGAAAAATTTGGCAAAATTTTTTTACTTTTATTAATTTTTAGGTGCTGTGCTGATCCTGAATTTTTTTATAAGGTTCTTTATCTGTATAATTTGGAATATTAGTTAAATAAAATAATTATAATAATAACAAATTAATTTCTTTTAGTGAATTAATCTTATTTTTATTCTTAAAGGTTAGAAATATAGAGTGCCAATCACATTTACGAAATCAATTTCAAGTCACCACCATTGAAAAAGGAGGAAAACATAATAATGACAAATTCAATGAATTTAACCTCGAACCTATACATTCCATAATAAAAGCTAAGATTATTCAAAAAGACAAAGGCAATCCTATGAGCCCAAACGATGGGCTTATATACAACAATACAAAGGAATTATTAAATAACAAAACAGGATCAGGGCTGATATCCAAATCCAATCTCCAAAAAGTAAATATATATCAAGATGCTACCACTTTAAAGTCTTCTAAACAAAACAAATACAACCTCGTTCCTTACAGCAGTTTTGCCAGTTTTCTCCGTTTCAATCGCTTCGGCCTACCTAGAGCGGGCAAAAGAAGAGTGTATAAGAATAATTACGATCGGCATTATTCGACGACTTTGCGAATCGAAAATGCTCCTCTCATGGAAAAGAAACACATTAAAACTTTTAGTTTGATAGACGGTGAACCTGCAGAGGAAGACGATACACACCACATAGAAGCCAAAGTAGAGTTGTACCCTTTAAAACAAAACCTTTTTGAGTATTATCAAAATTATTATATCAACCGTAACAATGCGCCAGGCTGGGAGGATTCTTCCTTAGATGAGATCGAGGAAAATGATTTTAGTTCTTCCAGAAATATCGAGGAAAATAGGATCAGAAAAAAAGAATCAGCAACTACCATTTTTCCGGTAATAAATAATAATGCAAGAGATAGAAACAGTAAAAGAGTTATTAATAACATACCTCATTCATCCACGATAGTCACTCATGTAAGAGATCATGATGCTAGAAAGAAAAACAAGGATCTTATTCATAATGAATTCCTTTATTTATTAACTAAAGCTCCCCCAGTAATAAAAAATGATAATAGAGAGAAAAACATTACTTACATATATAATGTTAGACCTAAGTCGAGAAATAATGTTGAGCCTCATTTGAGCAACAATAGGGCCAGTAATAATAATGATTACAAACAAGTTAGCCGTCAGTCACAAATTGCTCATCAGGCAAAAAATAATCGCCAATCACAAGCTAATAGCAAATCCCAAGCTAATGGCCAATCTCAAGAGAACCGCCAATCAAAAGACAACCGCCTATCACAAGTTAACCGTGAATCACAAAGTGATAGAGAATCACAATCTAATCGTGAATCACAAGCTAATCGCGAATCACAGGCTAATCGTGAATCACCCACTAATCGCCAATTACAAGCTAATCAACACTCACAAGGTGATCGCCAGTCACATGCTAATCGTCAGTCCCAAGCTAATCCCCAAACACACGCTAATAGCCAACTGAAAGCTCGCCAGTCAACGACTCTTCAATCCAAAAGTGTAAGTCGCGCTATTTTAGTACATGCAATGAGATCAGAAGTTAAGCCTAAAGCAGCACCACCTCTTCAAGCAGTTAACAATCGTATTCAAAACAGCAGAGTTCCACTGTCCCTTAGTCAAGTACCTAAAATATTTAACAATTCCTCCAAAGTTATTAATAAAAAGACTAGTGTTGACAATATTGAAAAGGTACCTATTACTAGAAGAAAAATGAATGAAGGACATCAATCGTTTGTGACCCCAAAACCTAGAAGAGTTGTGAGCGAATCGCATAAAATAACATTATCCAAATCTATAATAGGTAAATTCACCTCTAAGAAACCAATTACAGCGCCTTTAAATATTAGAGAAAAGTACGAGAATAGAGCAAGGAAACCAATTTACGATGCATATGGAGATCTCATAGGACTCAGTCCTGTGGGAAATACCTTTGAATTTGCCGATTATTCTGGAAAGTCTTCAAAGGCTAATTCAGATTCCTTAAGTTATAACGATAAAATTGTGGATAATGATAAAAAAGAATATGAACAAGTTTATAAACCTGACATAGGGAATAAATTACAATCTAAACCTGCCAAAGCATTTCCATCATTTACAATTCAAAAAACTGAAAAACCAGAGATAAACGAAGTTACAAATTCAATTTCTTTGTGGACGCCCAGGAATCTGAAGTAAATATAAGATTAAGTTTATTTTTTTGAATTTGGAGTAAATATTATTTGGATAAGGCTATTTTCACATATTGTTTTTAAAACAATTTGAGGCATGTTTACAGATAATTTATTTATTTCCAAACAAAGAAAATAATTTGTTGAATTATTCTACCTGAATTTTTTGTATAATATAATATTTTAAAAATACGTTTATTGGGAGTCTTTTCCATGCTAAATCATTAATAAAAAACAAACGAATTTGATTTTTATAAACGATCAAATCTGAGAGACTCTTGATAAACGTGTTTTTATGTTATATCATACAATTCCGGCAGAATAATTCACCATTTGTTTGCAAATAAAAAAAATTGCTACAAACTTGCTACAAAATCTTTGAAAGATAATTCTATCTGGAAATGGCCTAAGAAGTATTATATTATTACTGTTAAAGTTTATTTTTTTTCAAATCATTTTCCTCATAAAGTTACAATTTTTATAATATATTTTTTTTAATCAAATCATTAATAAATAAATTTAGTTATGAGGCGCCCAAACAAAGCAGGAAACCTAACAAATATAGAAGGAAAAAGGTTATAGAACTTATACGGATAGAAGAAAGCACTACTTCTTCTACTACAACTTCAACTACAGACTCGACCACACCTATGTTAATTTTCTCTGGAAAAAAATCTGGCGGTTATTTCAGAAACATCAAAAAATCATCTCACGGGTCAGCAGCCTCAGTAGCATCGGATCCACAGTGTCCTTGGTGGTTTGCAGAGTGCAGAATAAAAGAGTCTTTCAATTCACCCCAAATAAACTCCAAAAATATAGTAACATCTAATCAACCAGGCTTCTCAAAATCCCAAGTAAATTTTGGCTCCTTGGATTTCTTACCTAACAAAAATTCGGTCGCCTTTCCGGATTCTTTTCATAGATCGATATATCCTAATAATGTCAAAAGTTCTTCCTATGCTGCTTATGATAATTATAATAGATATGCTAATACCAAAAGTAACAGTGGTCGCTATAGAGTATCTAATTTAAATAATAAGATCCCACAAATATTGATTAAGGCAAAATATAGAACATATAATAATGATCTTTATAATAAAGATATAAGAGAAACTGAGGATATACCACATTTATTACATAATCAAAATTTTCCAAAATTAAATCCTATCAACAATATGAACCTAAGAGATCCTTATCCTTTATCATCTGATTTTCAAATAGAGTTGTCGGAAAAACAGTCGCCCCCAACAGTGTTATTATCGCCTCCCGAAACTCATAATAATGAATATGTTAAATCTCCTTTTAATCTTGGTATTTCGTATAATAGATTCAGTTCTTATCCACCAAGGATCTCTAATGCCTATCCTAACACAAGATATCGTTACAGTGCTCCAAATCCTTCACCTAATTCTGTCCAAACTGATTTTTATAGTACATCGCATTCGCAATATTTGCCACCATTTCCATCAGATAACTCTTTAAATTTATTATCTCAAACGCAAAATATTCAAAGTCTAAAAAATGTAGAACCCAGCAATATTATAGATATAAGAAGCAATTCGATAGTTAATACCGATAATAAAAATAGGCAATCTTATGGTAACAAGAAATTAGATTCGGATCCCATTATAAAATCAGAATCGGTTTATCATAAATCTAATGGACACGACAGCCAAAAAGAACAAAATGTTCAGGAGAAATTCGATATCAAAAACTCTCAAACAAAAGTCAGAGTTAAAAGTATAATAATTAATAATCATTATATTATAGTAATTTACCGTTAGTTAACAACTATTAATTATTTTTTAGATTTCAATTCAAAAATATAAATTTACATTATAAAATTCAAAAACTTCAGTCTTTAATTTTTAGCATTTATAATAACTTCCATGTTTTTATACTTGACTTTAAAAAAAAGTTATGTATAAAATAACATTCAATAAAACATTACTTTAAGCTAGGTCAATAGGTCTATAAAGCATTGGTGAAAAAAAATATATTGAATGTTTTAATACATACAATCGATTGTGTCATTGTTTTTATTATAAATTACTTTAAAATATCTATCCTTTCATTAAATATTATGTGCAACTTTTAATCAGGTTAGCTTAAGGTTAAAGATTAACATATTTATTCGTAATATTATTATTTCATTTATTATTATTAGCAATTAGCAATGATATTATTAATTATATTTTAGATCATCTTTTATCGTTGTTTCTATTTTTATTCACTATTTTCTATATAAAATCTAGTAATATGGAGTTAATATAATCTGATAAATTAATTTATATAAATTTAATTTTAATATAACATATAAATTTATAAATGCAAGCTAATATTTTAAGATGGTAAAATAAAATAATCCGCTTATAAGTTTGCCGCCCCAGCATAATTTGGGTTCCTGATATTTTATCATGGACAATTTTTTGCGATTTAACGTTTCCCCATTTTAATGTTTTAGAGGTCGTCATAGATGATTAAAAAACTACAATGGTAAATGATAGAAGTAAATTTAAAATTACATTTTCTATGCTCAGTATTTAATTATTGATGTTAAATTCATCAAAATCAGCTGTTAAAAAGTAACTAGAGTTAAAAATTGAGTATAGAAAATGTAATTTAGGATGGTCTTTTATTTCATCATAAGTGCTAAAGGGTTTTTACATACCATATGGTATTAAAATTGAGGGTAGGACCATTAGAGTTATTTCATGAAATTTTTTAATCATAATTCAGCTAAGATGATCAGAACCTATCAATGCTGAATTTTTTTCTCTCAACTAGTCTTAGAAATACTAAATTCTCCTTATTATATTTCCGCCATTTTTCATTGATCTCTCTTCTATTGCCAATTCCAGGACGCTAATAGGACTGTCAGATTTTCAGGTTTCTAAACTACCTTAATTAACTCTTTTCCAATTCCAGTTAATAACTATTTTATATATTTTCTCGTTCCTATTGTGAATTTTCCTAGATCTTCCAATAATTCATCTAAGTGTTGGAATTTCTGCTACCTACACTCAATATTTTCTCTTTCTTGTTAGTCAGCGAAATGTCTGACAAACAGGGAAAAGTCGACATCTCACCATCCTTTTCAAACCTTATATTTTCAATTTTAGCGACATTTGCTACCAAGCAAATATGGCTCTCAAATCAGCCTCAAGTCTTCAATATGATATCTAATTTAAATATTTATACCTTCTACCCAACCAGTTTCTAATCTTCTACTCTTAAACAGTCTTATCGTTCTTCCTTCCGGATTTAAATATGTTAACTATTTTATTCTACTAATTTTGACCATGACCACATATCTATTCCATTAATTTCTCGCATGCTTCTACTTCTGACTTTATCCCTTTCACAAAAAATGATATAACTGATATAAACTTAATTTGTACCTCATAGCGCTCAACCCCAACAAATCGGTTATCAAATTTAGAAATGCCAAAAACAAAATGTTACACAGTACCGTCTCATTCCCATTATGTAAACCTATTTCACCCCAAAAAATTTGTTCATCACAGATTTTAAGCTAACTATTATTTTATTAAAATCATACATATCCTTTATTATCCCATACTTCTATTATACCCCCTTTTCCCTCAATTCTTGAAATCCTGTCAGAAGCGATCGCAAAATCGACCACCGCCTATTACCAGGTTCCTTTTTTGTTTCACCTGGAACTTTCATATAGACGTTCCATCATCACATGTGTTTCAATCCTTCCCCTCTTTAAGTTTGTACTGACTCTATCTCGTAAGTTTCTTCCAATAATTGTTATATATCTTTGTCATATGGTATAATAAGTTCCTTCCTCTTTACTTATTAAATCATTCCCTTATCTCATTTTTCATTTAAAATTGGGTTCCATAATATTCCTCCAGTCCACTTTGGAAAATAACCCTCTTGAACTTTTCCCCCAAACGCCTAATTAAATTGTACCGTATATTATTATCTTCAGATATAACCAAAAACATTTTAAGGGTTATGGTTATTAATTATTATAACTTGTTTAACCAGGTGTTCTATAATACACAGCTTCTTTTAAAAGTATGACGGAAAATATGAATAAAATTCTTTTCGAATATAGTAAATCGTTAAAGAAAAGTATTTATATATCGAATCAAATTTACAACAGATCTATATACAAGAGTGTGCTGCCAGGTCAGAATGTCATTGCCACCTATGTGATCAATATCTCGTAAACTCGTAAGGCATAAAATATTTTTTTGCCTACCATCTATCTTTATTTTTTATGTTCACATTTAGGCCTGGATCTGTATTATTTTGATATCTGATGATAATTATATATTATCATAATACTAACCCCCCCCCTCTCCCCCATATTTTCCTCCCATGACCAACTATCATGGTACATTAAAGTCTCGTAGTTATTACATTTTTACACTTCTCTTTAGAATTTATTTTGTTACATTTTTGGTTCCAGACCCCTCGTAGTGCAGCCACTCTGGGTCAATGCATTTAAACATGGATTATAATTTATTTAATAGTTCATTATTTTATAATTTTTTGAGGGCAAATTAAGTGGAGGGTAAAAAGCCACCGAATATGTTTAGTCCAATTCTGCCAAAAATTTTAGCAAAGCTCTTATTGTTCTGATTTTTATTTTATCAACATAACTTTATTTTCATTTTTTATAAATTATTCCTATTTTTCCTTATGAAATCAATTTCTTTTTTTTTTAGAAAATTAGTGTTTTATTCACCAAATAAATACATTCGATAAATATACTTATATATGTTAATCATGCTTATATTCTTGTGAAACTATTGGTTCCCAAAAAAATCATCAGTGCCTATTTTTTATATATTGTAAACATTTATTCCTGAGATTTATTTCGTGGTTTTTTTCTAGGATCCTTACTATGTTCAGCTAGCTTGAGAATTGATTTGTACCATAATTAGGAGAACTAACTCTGCTGTTTTCAAAATGGGAGAGGGTGATAGAAAACCTTCAAATAGGGCTTCAGTGTCATTTCTATAGAGGTTTTCGTTAACTTTATTTTAATCTATTTGGTCAATGATCGTATAGATAATACTATTTCTATTTTTGAATAAAATTGCTTAAATTATAAATTGTTATGAATATTTATTTGATGAGGGGTGCCAATATTTTTTACAAGAGAAGGGAGGGGGTTACGTTATTGTGCCGTGACTGTCTAGAATTGGATATAATGGATATAATAATTGAATCAAGAAAGAAAGTAATTAATTTTACAGGGTTTATTGAATAAATCACACTTTAATTTAATAAATGGCTTGTAATCATTTTTTTAAATTTAAACGGTTGCTGCAAAATATTGATTGTATAATGATTTATTACTATTAAATTTAAATAATACATTTTCAAGTTTTTCTGTTTTTGCTTAATTTTTTTTTTAGATCGTATGTTAAGTTTCCCGCGTTTTTTAAATTTTATAATTATCAATAAAATTTAACGTTATTCACATATATAGACATTTTTGTAACTAATATTAATACTGATTATAGTAATATCAATGTTCATAATTTTTAGAATGACACTTCTCAATCAGAATCTCAGGTGTCTGCCACAGAAATTAACATAAAAATTTGAAATATTACATAATCAGAACTAAGAAGTCTAAATAAACTTATAGAAGAAATTCAAAATTTATTTTAAGATTTTAATAAAGTTCATTATTTCACAAGCGAAATCAAATATTCAATATTTTTAAATTAAAATGCATCTTTATTTCATATCAGTGAAATTCTTTTATTTTGTAAAATATATTTTTAGTTGTTAAAACTTACCTATCTATTATTACTACTATTAAATCCCCATTAGATTTGACTAGGGCAATCGAAAATCATTTTATTAAAATGTCTCTAAAATTTAGAAACATTGACTAGAATGAAATAACTCAAACGGTTGTTTATCAACCTCTACCTAATGTACAATAATTTTTTTTCAATATTAATTTATCTTTTATTATTTAAATTTTGTGGCCGTAAAAAGGTGGGGTAAGTATGAAATAACCTGGGCATGTTGACTTAGTATCCTTTCCTATAACATAACACCATGTTATTTGAACCAGAAATATCAAAAAATAGATAGCGGGCAAAAATCGAGACATAATTTTTCCTACATGCCCTCCAATGTGCTTTTACTATTCATTTATTATAGAAGAATATTAATAATATTACTATGTTCTATCATAGTAAAAACTATACCTTGTGTGATAGAGGGAGGCTTATTTTTGATATATAATCTAAGCATCTCAGTTTTATCCTGAAAAATCTATACATAAAATATAAATAGAAATGCATTACAATTTAAAATTTTGAAATAAAATATTATGACGTGCCTCTGGCTCCAATCAGCCTGGGTCTCCCCTACCAAATAAAAATTTTAATTTTTTTTCTGTAAACAATGTTTAAAAAAGCATAAGAAAAAAATGCGTAACCAAAATTTTTCCAGGAGATGGGGGGAAGGGGGGGGGGATTTGGGTTGTTTTTTTCATAAATCTAAATGAGGGGTCTACATTTTTAGAAAAATAATTTAGGTTTCATACTTATTTTTAATTAAAACTTATTTTTGAAAATTTTCAATTATAGTCATTATTTTATAAATATAACTTCTCTCTTTAAATTTATTGTGTATAATAACATATTAGAATTATCAGATTAATTTTATACAAAAAATCCGTGAAAAGATTTTTATTTTGAAACTTGAATATGATTATATGTTCATTTAAATAAAATTTTGCAAAATAATTAAGTATTCTGATTTAAGGTGGCTAATTCATATTTCTTTATATAAAATAAGTTCTAAAAAAATATAAATATTTAAAATGTCATAGTAAACTTATAGTATAATAACATACTTTTTACCTTTTCATTAATTAATTTAAAGTCTTTGAAAATAATAGCACAACTACAAGGGAGGGGGATTTCAATTATCTTCTAATAGTTTTTTAAGATCATTTCAAGTGAGTAATTTTTTGACCAGTAAACATCTGTGACCATATACCCTGTGTTGACTGGCCTATTTTAATATAGCATTATTCATAAACTTAATCGAACCGGAAAACCGAACCTAAACCCGGAACGATATTTGTCTTCGTTCTGATCATGGCTTAAATTAATCATGTTTATTATATGTAAATCTTTATTAATATTGAAAATATACAAATATTTCACATATTATATATAAAACAAGAGTAAAATTTTATATTATGATTATTATGACCACTTAATCAATAGCCACTTATTATTAAATGGTCCGGGTTTTAGTTAACAAGCTCGACCACTTATTGTTAAACTTTCGGTTTATTTTTTAATATACTTATCCGCCCACCCATTTATTTAAAAAAAACTTATCTAACCCACCTGCCCAATGTTTTAAAATTATTTTATAGCTGCCTTGAGTCTTTATTTGTTTAATTTGATGTATTTCAGTTAAATTTATAAAATATGCAATATTATGAAAAAAAAATGATTTTTAATAAATAGAAGTGGCTCATTTCTTTTGGAAAATGTTTTAAAATTCACCCACCCATCTCCCGCCCATTGCTTTATAAATATTTTTTAACCCGCTTATCAATCTAATGAATAAACATTAGGGTTTGGTAAAATTTTCATCTAATAATCCAATAGATAAGAAGTTAGAATAGGTGGCCAGTCAACCACTTTGGCCATTTATTCCTATCTCCTCTATGCAATTTTTATTGGCTGATTTTAAAATAATTGAATAATAATTTAATTATACACCTGAGTCTGAAACTATAAAAAAAAAATTTTAATTTATAATTCAAAAAATTTATTTATATTTTGTAATTTTGTTTCATTCATAGGTTTACAAGCTAACTGCAACCAAGACAATTTTGATATATGGCTGATATTTACTGGGGGTCTCTTTAGTGGGAAAGTTCATTTAGATGATCCTAATTGCACCGAGAGAATCAATCAGCAACAAGAAGTCAAAATATCGTTTCCTATCCATTATTGTGGAACAGCTGGTTTTAGAAATGTAAAAATAACATATATTATATACATACATATATATTTAAATCAATAAAACATTTATCTAATACATTTTAAATATATTATCTTTAAAATTAAATAAATACATTTATAGGCACTAAACCCAAAGAGAATGAAAGTCGTCAGTAATATACATTTGCAATATGACGAGGGGACAAAGGCTACCTATATTGTAAATTGTCAGTTCTTCAATTCAAACGTCACATCAATCCCGAAAACCTAAATATTATATATACAACTATATTGTTTTTTAGAATAGACCTATCTTTCATTCATTCGCTAAATCTGTAATGCGAATACTGCCAATTCTTAATATCAACGCTATATAAATTTGTTATGATTGATTAGTTATTTTTTTTACTAAATAGAATTTTATTCATATGAAAAATTATACCAAACAATTAAAGGGTTAGTTTTTATTAAGAGTATATTAGTGATAAAATTTAAAAAAAGATGTATAAATTTTTGTAAAATTTTTATCGTTTTTTATTTAATTTTTTATATATTTTTTTTTATAATTCAACCACATTTCATATGATGAATAAATAAAATATAATGTAAATCTAATATATTTGGTATAATTTAATGAGTTAAGTTTGCCACGTTTGAAGAGGCCATGAAAAGGATTTAAAGATCAAAGGTAATAGTGAATATGGCTTATTTTGTACCTTAGGATGTGACAAAAGAATATGTAGGCTCATCTTTCTAAAAGGACAGTTGCTGCTATTTAGTCCGATTGTTTTTCACACACCTAAAATATGTAAGGAAGCACATTTTTAAATTTTATCATTAAATCTCATACTTTAAAGCAAATAACATGTAATTTATTATTATTGCACACTAATTTATAAATATAGATATTAACAATATTTATTAACTATATTATAAACATTTATTCTAAATGACCAATACTAATGGACCCGAAATTGATTGATGATAATCTTCAAAACATTCAAACCTATTTGATAAATGACAATGATTAATACCGGTTTTACGGTTCGGTTTTGATTCCTGTATTACCTGAAGGATCAAATTAGATATTTATTTATCTGTCTTGATAACCCCATTATAGTATAAGTGTAACCAAAGTCTCCCCCGTCATTTATAATGGTATTGAGTGATTTTATTGTAACATTTAGAGAGTTATATCGTGACCATGTCATCATATTCATCAGAATTTATGATTTAATTTAACTGCTTGACTAAAAAAAAATTTTCATGAAAACGTTGGGCAAATAGCTAGGCATCGTCGCCATAAATTTTCATAGGAAATAATTTATAAGGTCTCCTTTAAATCTTCACGAATGAACACTTACATTACAAATTACTATGATTGTTTATTGATGAATATAACGCAATTTACAATCGTGAATGATGTTATATCTGAAAACGGATCATTCTTGATCATGCATGTGGGGAAATCCATCTTTTACCAATTTCCTTTGACATTTGTTACTATGTTATGTAGTCTACAGGTATGTATATATATCTAGCTCGTATCTCTTCTTATATGAAGGATCCTCGTCTGTTTTCCATAATAGTTCTTAAGGAGTTTGTCCAAAGAGTTCATGCTCTTCCCATTGAATTTATGTACATTAAATATTTTTTATCATTGTGGTTTTAGGATCATTGTAAAATTGATAAACACTCGGCTTAGATATATAATTCTGCTAGCCTTGTTCTGTTCTTAGTGGGAAAATATGTGGTAGAAAATCTGGTTATCCAAATTATCCTGTACCTACAATAATTTATTGTGCTTAGTACTTGACGAAAGTAAATTTTTCTGATGCCTAATTCTATATGTAGCTGTAGTATTTCTACTCATGAAATTAATCTTTTATAGTTTTCGTTGTACGCATTTATCATTTTTTATCTAAAGTTAAGAGTTATCCCTAAATATGTTATATTTTCTTTTGTGACAAACCTCCCAACTTCTCATTTTAAATATTTTTTTTAGGTCTTTTATCTTCCGATTGTTGCAAACATTGACAACGTATAAGGAAATCTTTTCCTTTGTTATATTTATTTTGGACTAAAGATTGGAGGTTATACGAAGAAAAACTTGCTCATATTGGTAATACATTGTATTTGTACTTTCTTTCAATACATTTTACTCCAAATAAGTCCCTGACTAATTTGTGAAATTTGAAACTGTAGAAGGTTGATTTTAAATCTAGTTTACAGGTAAACCTTGTTTAGAATTCTTTTTTGAATACCTGGGTATACCCGATCAGAGGCTTCTACCGTGGGATAGAGGCATGATGCAAGATCGTCAATGAAATTAAATTATGGTAGATATTTGTGAAAGCATTATCAATATTTTAGTGAAATTTAGATAAGGGATGCAGGGGAGGAGGGGTGGGGGGGGGGGGGTTAGTTTGACTTGGATTTATTTATTTGCTAATTTGTTAGAGATGTGGGGGGAGGGGGGGGGGTAAAATATAGCGGGTGTAGAATTTTGAAAAGGTAGGAAGTAAATTTTTAGAAAAATTAGTGGATGAAATTTTTAAAGAGGGCGGAAATATGTCATGTCTAGGTAAGAGTAGATATTTTAGGAATCTGATGTAGTTTCTAGATTAAATTGATTCTTTATAAAGTACTTTGACATTAAACTGAAATCGTTTATTACTCTAGGCTTTCATTAGCTTTTGATATTATAAATATAAGTAGGCATATCATATAGTTACTTCTTTCGTCTAATACCGTTATCATTTGATCGACAGTTATATATTTGTGGCTGCCTTTATATATTATTGAAGTTCGCTACCAATAATTTTTATCACTTGCGAATCTTTTAGAGGAAACCTTATGTGGCCATATTCTTATATACATTTTTGCCATGGATGGAAGAATAATGGCGCACGTTATAGAAATCGAAGGGGATCAGGGATTTAACACTGTCTCTTTCAGATATAGAGAGGTGACTAAGGAGGCAAAGGATTTAGTTTTTCTTTGCATTGCTAATTGTGATTTTCATTTATTCGCTATTTGATTTCAATTTCCTTTTTTGTCAAGTTACTTTAATTTTAATTTACTTTTCTCTTAAAGAGGGGGGGGGGTATAAGCACAAATTATGGTGAAGTTTCAAGTACTATAACAATATCAATGGCCAAATTCTTAATTGTAATGATATACTTCCGTTCTCCTTGAACTTCTGAGAAAGTCGAGTATGAGCTGAGCAAATAGCAGTGACCGCCTGGAATGCATCAGAAGCCCCTTATATTATATTTCTGATGCATCTTATTAAGAATGTTTATGCCTATAAATTTCTTAGTAGATAATCCGTTTATTATTATTCTCATCATGATATATAGATCAAGACTTGAGCCTATGTTTGACTCTGTCGACAATGAAGGGGCAACTAATTCTATAATAACTAGTGACATGTTATCATCCTGTGACCATTTATAAAGAATTATAGATTTGCTTCAAAATCTAAGTTTCATGCCATGTCTATTATCTGATCAGCAATGTTGGTCAGTATGTTAATCTTGGTCAATATTTTTGTCATCTGGGAAAAAATTGTACGAACTAACATTTTAATATGCCTATAAAATCTAACATATTTTTCCGATGTCACATCTTTCTTTGTTATCGAGACCGGGCTTGGCTCTCTCTCTTCAACCATTTTCTAATTCTTTCTTGTCCTTTTGTAGGAAGAATTTGATGCTGAAATACTTATGCTACGTTGGGCATCTCGAAAAAACGCATAGGTTAGCTTTATATGCTACCTGACTATCTCTCATATTTTAAATTTGTGGGATAGACGTATCATAGGCCATCGCTATTCTCATTATCTAGATAAGAGATCAGGGAATCCCGATTCAAAGACTCGGCCAGCAGGCCTAGCCAGGAGCCACACTGATCTTTCAAAATATTTTTAAGGGCAAGGCCTTAGTTTTGAAAATGTATTAAAGCTGGAAATTATATTGTTGCTCTCTTTCATAAAATTTATTAGCAGCTCGGCTAGACAACTTGCAGAGAATATATTTTGCAGACCTATAAATAATTATGTACTGAATGACTTCGTTAGCATTTATTTTTCAGCCGTAAATTTCAGGTAATCTTTGTTCCTTACAACAATCGTCTCTTTAAGAAAATATACATACGTCGCGCTTATCTCTATGATAGTTCTGGCCATATCTTAATTATGCTTTCTACCTTCTATTCTCAAAACAGCTAGTGCTATGGTTTCCAATTATAAAAAATCGGAACAAGAGACCATTACTGCTTTCTGTCGCATCTTGAAGGAGGGGCCTGTCTTAGTGAGGATCTTTGGATTTTTGTGAGCCCTAAAAAAGGATGATAAGTATTCCCATTTGCGTTTCCGATAAGATTCTACATCCAATTATATTTACTGAACTTTAAAAACTTGTCAAGAAAATTTCCTGCTTTCCTTCATTAATTATGCCAATGGCCCTGTTTATTGGTTAGCCAGACAGAAAGATATATTTTCGTTAAATCATCATAGAAGGAATTATAAATTATTACAAATGAAGAAAATTTGACTATAATGAAATAAATGTAGCTGTAAATAAAACCATAAATGGGGGTGGGTAGCATGATTATGAACTAGAAATTTAAAAATATCAATTATTGAAAATCGTTTAGGCTTATGTTATGACTATATCAAATAGATTTTTTTTAAAAATTGATTAGCATATTTATTAGTGCAAATAGGTTGGACATCAAAGCTAGGTGAACTATTTACTTAAACTTATAATACGAATGGATTTTTAGAGGATCAGGGACTGTATGGTTACTAGCTGGTATGCATATCTTATATCATTCTTTATTTTGATTATATTTAAATTAAAAAATATATAAAATATAAGAAAATAACACGAACTAAAAGGCTAAGGATAGTAAATAGGCTATATATATAATATAACTAAACAGGCACTTTGACTTATAAAGAAACAGTGTTTGAGGGTAAACTAGAGTCAGACCGTGTACGCAAGGGAGGGAGTGAGTACTACCTCTGAAAATAATTGAATTGGTAGAACCACTTAATATAGATATGGAGTTTACACCAAATACTGATGAAATCATTGAAAAATTATCTCAATTTCAAAGAAGATTAAATTTTATATCATACGCTTCTTAATTACTTTGTCTCCATTTTTCAATACACCATATTTTTCCCATGAATACATTGTAAGCATATATACATGCAGTTTCTTGGAAACATTTTTGTGCATTAATTTATATTTCCAACTTGTTTTCTTTTAAATTTAAAAATTTATATTTACAAAGAAATAGATATTTGAGTTTGTGTATTAGAAATTGTCAATATTTTATAGTCATTAGTCTTT